CCGCACTTGTGATACAGAATGGAATTCTCAGCATTTTACTACAGTACTGCATTCACTTAGTACATTAACAATAAATAAAATTCTACATAGATTAAGAGTAATCTCAGTCAGTTATGTTAACAACATATTGGCATATCGGTAGCAAAGCAAAAATTGAACATTGTTTGAGAGTGTTAGAAAAGTAGATGCTGGCATATTTACTGATGTAAGCGGTCGAGATATACAGAGTGTGAGAGAACGAAGGAGAATGTTTTAATAGAGTTTGTAAGGAAGAAAGAAACAAAACAGCACTTAAGAGAAACAAAGAGAAAAGGAAAACAAAGAAAGGCAACTTCATACATTTATTCTACTTGATGAATTTGAATGGAGCAAGAATAACAGCGGTTTGTGCAGAGTAATATGGTACCATCATTTATTTCGTTGGCCTGTCATCATCTGCTTACACCCTAAGTAAATTATGAGGTTTAAGTACAGAAACGCTTTAACATACTTGCAAATTTTACATGTTGTCAGTTGACAGAAAGTTCCACAATTAGTAAACAGTGCTGAGAAAATTGCAATTATACAGTTTTTACACAGGCAGTTCAAATTTAAACAAAAAAAATAAATGTATGCATATAATGGCGAAGGAGTTCCGCATTGAGATGAAATGTGCGTTAGATGCATAGTGACTAATAAGTTAGGTAACAATGTACTGAGCTGAAATCAAATCATAGAAACAACAGACAAGCAAAATTACAGATTATAAAAGGAGGGTGAGGTTAAAGGCAAAGATTATGTAATCAGATGAGGGAAAAACGACATCCAGTTACCAAGGCAAGGAAAGACTAATAACTGCTTCTTTCTGAACACATAAATCTGGTTTCAAGCGTTTGATGAAAATTGGTTCAGCAAACTTGAGGAGAATCGAGCTCTGTTGTCTATTGATAATTCTGAAGGATTTCTCGATTTCCAACTCGTAACACGTGTCGAGGAGATGTCCGGTAATAGCGCTAGTATAAGAGTTTGTTCCCTTGAGATGTAGGCTTTTCGGCACATGTTCAGAAAATCGGAAAGAAAGAAAACATTGTACCTATAAATGATATGAATTGAAAAGGCGGGATACAGTTGTTCTACCGACTATTTAATAAGTTATAATGCTGATAATGCTTTCTTTATCACACAGAACACGAGCTATGGATTGTTTGACAGATAAATAGATAGATCAGAGATGGATGGATAGACAGAGAATTTTTACTAGGCATGCATTTTCGGTTCTTATATTTATGTGTTTGTTGTTTCTTCCAGATCATAAAGTTTTTGAAAAAATTGGTACGCAAATGGAGCAAAGTAAAATCGTAAATACAGTTATCTTCTGATCTTCATGAGGAACAATTTTCCATTATATGTATCTAGTATATCGATAGGTAGACCGATTTTCGATTCCACTTTCCACCCCATCACTGTTTTACACAACCATGTTATGTCCTCCACAGACTGATAATCAACTCTGATGGATAATTGCACAATTAAAGATTCACCGCTGCCTACCATGCATTCTAATATAGTATCACATACTTTATGCATCTAGTCTATCTGGGTAGTATCATGCAGATCCTGACTTTAAAGATACTACTCTTCCTAGCATTTCATACACAGTAAAATAAATAAGTCAACGTGGTTCACTGATTTCCACGCTAGATATTAATCATGTACCTGGCCGATCAACTAGTGATGAAGGGGATGTAACTCGGTAAATGCTGAACATGATTCATATGCCCATGTCGAACCAGCAATGCCTCTGACTACTTCAATGCATTTACTCAAACTATATTTCAATACAAATCAAGCCAACAAAATCATCACAAGTCAGCAGCCGCATACATAGTATACTCAACTCCTTTGTAAATACATTTGGAAAAATCAGATTCTCTGTCATCTCCACTTAACTGGTTCATGTTACCTACATGCTCTAAATCAATCTACATATCCAAAACAGCTAAGACATGACCAATCACAGATCATCAACAACACCATCAACACCGCCCAACTTAATGGTGACAGTAGGTGACATTTGCAAGCACCAGTGAACATCGTCTGGTCGTATTCTGATTGTCAGCTGGTAAGATGTGAAGTGATTTGGTGAGTGGTGGCTATTGAAATGGAAACCAGGATGCACATTTCGTGCAATTTTTGAGATCCTTGAGGGGGAAGTCTTTCTTTTCTCTAGTTAGTGATAGTGTTTCCACTGAGACTCGTAACCAATTCTCATTTTTTCAAACTCCATGGTGTTATCAACTTTATCACTTTGACAACACGGGCCGCGTCTTGTGCAAAGAGCGTCAGGAACTCCTTGTTTTGAGAGAATTTCGATTTTCCCTGTAGCTGATTCGAATGAACTATTCAGCCTCTATGGGAAGGCTCTCACCCACTGACATTGCATGTACGTCTAACTGACGAGTTCTGAACAACACGAAACAAGCATCATGCATTCCACCGCTAGTCACCACCCACCAAATTATTTCAACTAAATTCAAAAACATGGTCACTGCGTATCAACCTCAAGCTGACATATCAACTGAGCTCTAACTTTTCTTTTCAATTAGTCAACAGGAAATTGAAATCGATAAAGAGTAGACAAATGATTACACGTAAATAAGGATTCGTGTTTCTGAAGAATATGATTAGTCTAAGACTGTATTCTACTGATGATTTGCAGTCTTTACTATGCTCGTGAACTCACTTGCCGATGCATGGGTGGCTAGAAGGGATCTGATTAACCACAACAGGTTAGTCGACAGGGTATAGCCGTTGTTGTTCTTGTTGTTTCTTCAAAGATATTCGATGTAAATGATAACTGCACTGCCGAAAATTCTGTTTCCATGTTGTTTTTCTGTGTTTATTCGTGATCTTGACAATAAGTGCGACAGTCACTAAGAATGCGAAATTCAACAAAAAGATCCCCTCTTGTAACTTCCCTTCAAAGCTGTATAATTTTCTAAGTGTTTATATATATATATATATATATATACAATGTTAATTAACAACAAAACGTCTGTGCCTATTGTCACATAGAAGTGAAATAAATCAAAATGTATGAGAAATAACAGTGTATGAAACAGCACTCAAAATGGTTATGTTATTACAGTAGTTGTAAGGTAATACGTTAAATGATGAGTAGACATCTGTAAATGTTTGAGGGGAAACGATAGAACTATGAATTGAAAACGGGTCGCAAAAATTGACTGACTAAATAGAGTTTGGAAAGTACCTACCTCATTGATAAGCCACTTTGGAATGTCATATTTCAGGTGATCCATAATAGCAAAAAAATCAGAGAAGCCTTTCGAGTGAAGACAGTAATAAGAAAATCCTGAATAATATTACGGATGATAATTCTAATTTGGTGGACTGGATCACTTGCCAAACTATGGAATAAGAGAAAACAGGAAAATATTGTGAAAATAAGAAGACACTGTATTATCTGAACCTTATGGGAGATTGCCGTTGAATGTCACAAAAATTCGGCAACTGACACTCAATGACCAATAGTTTGTCAGAAGTGGTAGGAAGCGAAGATAGGACTTTGAATGAACACAGAGAAGACGGATAACATGGAGATAACGGGAAAACCAACCAACCATCAACAACAACAATAGCCAATACAATTTACTGTCACTGCTCTCACCTACCCAGTAAGACAGTATTGTTTCAACTACAGGCAGTTCCATGGGTGATGATTTGGAAACCAGTCAGCCTCGGAAGGGCAAAACAGACCTTCATGATTCTAAAATCAGTTTGGAAATCTTCTACAAACACCATAATAAACACAAATTCGGTTTTTAACTTCAAGGTTGAATAAGTTCATGTATATGGTTCAGTGACCTGGAGCATTTCCAAAAGATTACCGAAGACTTTGATCAAAAGCCGAAGTTTCTACTCCATATTGTAGACTACATGACCAGACTGAACTTTTTTTATTACTTATATATTTTGCTCGTTTGTTCTTCGAGTGGAACATCCGGTGTCAAGCCTTAGCTTTGAACTTTCAACAACTGTTGAGGTTTCTGCACAATTGGATTTCTGGCCATACACTCATCTTTCCCGCTTTTTGCTGGCTTATAATCAGCTAAGTGAGGCAAGAATGTGCATCGGCTGGAAATTCAAATCCAGACCATATGCACGTTTGGCTTGGATTCTAGCATTGTACCACCTATAAACCAAGAAGCAAAAGGCAACAAGCGAATCTGGAAACAAACTATACAATAACCATTTACTCAATAAGTATTCTGAAGAAAATGATAAAGATTGGACACTTACTGAACTGGCCGTTGAATGACATTACGCGCCAGATTATCACTCAAGTGTGAACCGGATAAGGAACATCTTTGAGACGAAGTTAGGAACAAAAGATATCTCCTTGACAATCTAAGCCTTCCTAATCACAAAGCATAGTAGTAGGAGCAATGGTCAAATACTGAAGGCAACTGCTGAGAAGAAGAATTAGCCAAAGTGTTTATTTGAGAACTTTGTGCATTTCACATGTTGAATGATTGTCAGTGAACATTTGCAGTAGAATGAGTATTAAGCCTACTATTGACAGAACAGTCATAGTAGTAGTTGTAGTACTGTAAGTGGTTTTATTAGTATTATTAGCAGAAGCATGAACATCAGTATAAAATAGAGTTTCGTAATATGTGAAAATATAGGCAATTTTTGCTGGATATAAATAAGTTTTAACTAAACACTGGAGCACCAATCTACTTAAGCTTATCCACTCAAATCTGCTTATCAGATATAAACTGCACGAAATACTTCGAAAATGATGACCATTCTTCTTTTATGCCAGAAATCTCACTGACCTGGATCCACTCAACAGTAGCACCTGTCGAATTACAATTGTTTATTATGATCATATACACTTTTAAGGGATCAATTTCCCGTAGCACATTTTAAGCCTACTCATTTTCAGTATGTGTTTTTGAACCATGAGATACATTCAGAATGTTTTGTGTTGATAGCTATGCACTTTAAAGATGCCGAAATAGAGGAGAATCAAAAAATCAATAATGAAAGTGAGTAGACAGAAATAACCAAACCACATACTTATTTATTTACTTATTTACATTGAATGTCTTGAGATAAGTTGGAGGTATGCCTTCTAGCTTACATCAATCAGAGTGTCATTGGAAACAACCATGGTGTACTGGGCAGCCATTATGTCCTAATTTAGAATTCTTGAGCAGTATATATCATCTGATGTTTGTTCTGATTACCTTCCGTTTACAAAACGTAGTTGTAGAACATTCAACCACTGGGACCTGATCCAGCGGTCCGTGAATTCCAACTCCTGTCAACAGTAGCACAGTAATTGGCTAATTCGTCATCTCATGTATCAGGTGTTTTATTCTCATTTCCGACCGTGTGTTTGTAGATGTCTCGCAAATGAAATAACAATGAATCCCTGTCTCAGTGTGATTTATCGCTATCTGATTGGACGACTATCGTTCGGTTATCTTCATTCATGAGTAAAAGGCACTGGCGCTGGTGGTGGATGTGAGAAAAGATCATCAGTGAAAACACTTCAAGTGATTGATCAGACTTCACTGCTCTGTTCTAGCGAGGAATATGTCTGATGTCTTTTGGGACACAGAAGAAACGCGTTTCTCAAATATGTACAGTCAGAGTGAAAACAAATCCAAATTTATTCAACTTTCTTTGTACACTTCGAAGAAGATTTCGAAAGATTATTGAATAATGTCAATTTTTAAATAAACATGCTCATAAAAGATTTATATGAAATAATTGTGCATTCATTTATTGAGATCTCGAAAACAGAAAGAGTGAGCTAAGAAATATTTACTTTTCATTTAGGTCCTCGACTCTGGCTCTACTCTAATATATATAGCATTTCAATTTCAATACACAACAGTTTGCCAATCTATTGGCGATAAATAATGAATTTAAGAAGTAGTCTGATTACCTTGATATGATTATGAGCAATAAATTGTGCTCGAAACGTCATCAGTAAACATTACTGTATAACACTGTGAGACTTTATCAAAACAAAATTTACCCATAATGGAATTACACTCTACCACAGTGCACAAGTTTTATTCTTATAGTGGCGATAAGTTTAATTATTGTTAACAAACTTATCGCCACTTGATTGGCAAACTGTTCTGTATTGTAACAAAAATGCTATATATATTAGAGTAGAGCCAGAGTCGAGGACCTAAATGAAAAGTAAATATTTCTTAGCTCACTCTTTCTGTTTTCGAGATCTCAATAAATGAATGCACAATTATTTCATATAAATCTTTTATGAGCATGTTTATTTAAAAATTGACATTATTCAATAATCTTTCGAAATCTTCTTCGAAGTGTACAAAGAAAGTTGAATAAATTTGGATTTGTTTTCACTCTGACTGTACATATTTGAGAAACGCGTTTCTTCTGTGTCCCAAAAGACATCAGACATATTCCTCGCTAGAACAGAGCAGTGAAGTCTGACCAATCACTTGAAGTGTTTTCACTGATGATCTTAGCTCAGTCTTTCTGTTTTCTAAATGTCTAAATGGGGATTATTTTTCTTTTTTGGGATCTATTGAAACGTTTGCGAGAGAATTGTGCATATGTCGTGAAATGCTGGACTGATTGTATCTACTGTGTAATAAATTCCTCTGAGAATTTCGTTCACCTTGTAAACACTGTTCAGAACAAAACCGCTACTAACATTGATACTTGCCTTGGAGGAACTTAAGTTACTCCGGTTTTACTCAAGAGATGGTCTTTGTTGTGCCACGTCACTCGACAGTTTCATCAGCCTGTCTCCGATCCATCTCCACTTTCTTCTGCATATTTGCCCCGAAAGTTTCCTGGTGCTAATCCTCACTGCCTTTCCATTCGATCATCAGTATAGGGTCCGCAAAGGCAGCTGTTGATAGCATTCTTCAGTTGACTGTTTGAAATGCCGTAGACGCTACACCAAGTCTCTCAAGAATATAGAGCCGACTTCAAACTAGTGTATGAAGTTGAAATTTCGTTCTTCATTCTGAGTGTGGCAGAGTTATAAACTGATTTCAGGGTGCTGAATGTGTGCCTCACACTTCCGAGTATGAATATCTCTGACGTCCTCACCGTTGCTGCTTTCGGTCTAAACAATGCTTTCCAGGAAAGCGCAGGGAGTGACCGCCTTTAAAATCCTTCTATTTATAATGATTGGTGCTTGTATTTCTTGTGGGATAGGTATCTTTTTCTCTTTAACCTTCTCTCCATGTTCACTCAAAGTCCTGTCTTCGATGGCTACATTTTTCTGGATTGAGCCTGCAATTCTTCAAATTTTTGGGAAATCAGACGAAGGTCGTCATCAATCTCCTGAACTCCCACCGTCTTCTTGTTGGTTAAATATACTCCTGTCTTCTCGCTCATCACAGTCTCCAGAATGATTGAATACATCACAGTCAGAAATATCATAGTTGGTGGTAGGAAACCATGTCTTACTTCTGTCTCCACTTCAAAGGCTTCGTCAGGTTTTCCCTTATGGACCCCCTGACACATTGCATTGATATATAGCTGTTGAAAATGGTTAAGGATGGTCTCCAACATTGCACTGCATAGTATCGAATTAGTTTCCAAAAGACTTCGAACGCCTTTTCAAAGTCGATGAAGTCTGCGACGCAGATTTGACCGTCATTTTATATTCTGTTCAATGATGATGCATGTGGTTGTCATTTCATCCACATGCGAATTGCTTCTTCTCAATCCAGCCTATTGAGGGGAATCTTGTGCGTCCACCACATTTTTATCCTCTCCAGAAAGATTTGTTGATATAATTCCATTATTTATAATCCTGCTATTTTATTGATTGGTACTATCATTTTCCATATATCTAGTGTCACTATCTGATAATTCGTCATATCCACTTCACGTATTGCGCGCTATTTCAATAAAAAAAACGCTCAGTGATCAAGCTTTCCTTCCACATACATATATCACATTTCAGACACGTTGCTCTACTCCACCACAGTGTGCAATTGTGTCTTGTGACATACATTCCAACTGCTCATGTTTTGTCCAAGCTATTCATTCGTTGCAATCTCACCTGTTGTTTGTTATGGCAGACGTAGCTAATTTGCCTAGAAACGATGCAAAAATGTTAGCTATTACGTCAAACAACGGAAATCATGAAGTAAAAAAAGACAGCAGAAACAACGGTGACGAGTGAATCTCCCCTAAAATTCATTAGTAGATAAAAAAAGGTCACAGTATCAGTACTACCATAAATAAGGAACATTTGAAGGCGTATTCGGTTATACAAAATGAAGAGAAATTATTTGCAAACCTACGCAGGTTTCTGAATGAAGTCGGAATTAGAATGCGGCATTCAGATCTTCAGAATCACTCAGATAACACCTTTTAGAACCTTCTTTGTAAATATTCGCTGAGTTCCTAAAGAGTAAATGACAAGAGTTTGTCCAAGATATATACACACATACAATATTAACATTACATGTCAACAAACGCAATAGTTTTCCACATTTACTGAAAACCACAAACAATTAATTTCATTTTCACTTGACAATACTGAAATGACACTTACAATGGCATTGATTTCTGCTCTTTATTAGGTAAAAAGATTCTCGGAGAAGACTTGGGAAAAGTTATCGAAGCGGAATTTATCAAATTAAGAAGTAAACAAATATTTGAACGAATGTTAAATTTCAAACTCGTTTCCCACTTTGTTATTTTGAAACATGAAAAAGCAACGATTTGTGCTTTCCCTTTGTGGGAGAGAAGAAGACTCTCAAGTGGCTGAGGATTTTGCCTGGTAAGGCTATCAAAGCTCCTCAACTAAACCACTCAGCTCAGGGAACGCCCGCTACACCAAGAATACACACATCCAACGTGCGTCAATCATTCGACGCTTAAATTCTCCTCCTACAATAACTTCAAAAAATGAATAAGCAGTTACTGGGACAAGATAAATATTTATACTCACTTGCATCTGCTTCCCTTGTAAAGTGTATACGCATGATTTCAGAGTGATCACGAAGCACACCCTTTTCATGTAGACTGTTTGATCATTTTACCTTGAATCTTGCTTCATTTCGTTTCTTTTTGTCCAGACATTGTTGAGTTGAAATGTATGCAAATGTCAGGAATGCGAATAGATGAAAAAAGTGAGTCATTTTTTTTGTTTGTTTCTAGTTGAAAAATGGCTGCTTTAACTAACCGAAAAAGTCAGCAGATATTATCGTCACCTGCAATAAGATCAATGTACTGTTTAAGGTGTAACGTGACATATGTTATTCTTGTTTATAGCAATAAAAGCTTCGTATGACAGATATGAAAGGATGAACAGAAGTGTGTGTATTGGGTCCGAATTCGTCGTAACTAATATGGGATTTATGCACCTCAAAGTGTGATGATTCATCCATTCACCAAAACACTTATCCATGAATACATTTCATAAGTGATGTATGCTTTGACATGTAATTTTTGTTATTATTCCCCCAGGTTCCGATTGGTACATGGGAACTGAAAAACACCTCTCTACTCATTCTGTTTTCTGCAGTAATCTTGAGCTAATTCCACGATTTCTCGTTAGTTCCCGCCTCCCATTTAGTCAAATTCACACTCAACTCTTCATTTTATTTTGGTCACAATTGACGGTTTGTCTTGTGTGTGTGTGTAATAAAACTGAAAAGTCTCCTCCGTGTGTGTCTAATCCATTTATATTCCTGTCTGTATGTTTGTCGGGAAAAAAGGTGAATGGTTGATTTGTTGAAAGAGTTCAAGGCTGCTAATACTTTCCAGTCAACCATTTGGTATTCCGCATCCAATCAGGGAAGGGAGTTGGTGATAAACGTCTGTAGTGAATTGTTCAAAATAGTTTTTTGAACACAACAAGTTTCTGAACGATCTAGACGAACTAAATGACTTCACAATGTTGTAGTAAAATTTGAATCCGCAACATCTCACTAACTTTGTTTTCACCCTTATATCTTCAAATCCCTGTGACATTGAATGTAAATCGTTCGCGCTGTTCAAGTCTGTTGTTTAAGCACCGAATAATCATGCAGTGCTCTTCAACAATGACTCATCAACTGGCTCTAACAACATGAGCCGAGTGCTGGTAGACAACTAATTTCCAATTCTCTGATAATATGCATCTCATATATTTCTTGAACAAAACAGCTGTTCACTATCTACGAGATTTCACTACTTCTCCGACTGATGTCAAGTAGTCATGTTAACTTATCCAACATCTATCTACTTACACGATATTGGCTTCTGGGTGAATTTTTGAACAAATATCCCATGTATCCAATTGTGTCAGATGTTGAGCAGTAGAATTCTTGCCAGCCAGTCGCATGGCACCGAATCCGATTCCCAGACGATAGATTCCTAAACCTCTCCTGGTGTACCAGCAGAGAGTAAACCTGGAGAAGAAGGAACACTGCCCCTGAGGATAACGAATGTTCACCAGTGAAACATATCAGCATTTGAAACGTCAGTATTTCAAGTTCCATGGAGCCATATTCTCCACTCAGACCTCAAGGCATGTAAAACAAATATATGATTGTCACTCATAGAATTTGATTTTATTTACCTTCTCTAATCCATTGTGCCTACTAACAATTTCTATTATTATCCTCATATTTGTTTTCTTAGCTGCCAAAACTTTTTTTAAGAAATCAGATGGGAAAAATCTACCAATGTCTGAATTCAAGGATGCTGTCAGTAAGCAGAAAATTGTGTGCTTCCAACCCTAATACCCTCTTCTGTGAAGCGATTTCAAATACTGACATTACTATGCACACAAACAAAGAAGACCTGTGTGCATATCTTCAGGACATGCAGCATCTCACTCATTTAACACGTGCCGAGAAACTTTTGCATCGTATTTAGAAGGAAGTTTGGAGAGGCTAGAATTACCATAGAATATACAAAAGCGATTCTGCATGGACTTGAGTCGCTTCAAGTTTGATCATGTTTTGATATTAGCTAGAGGAGCACGGCAACGGCTGCTCCTTCCTAGTTGGGGACTATTATTTAGTATGCTGCCATAACACCACAGGAGATTGAACCAAAGACCTACAGGTGATGAGAACAAGCTCGTTAGTCACTCAACCAATATAGGCCGTTATGCAATGGTCATTGAATTCTAACATATTCACTTCGAAAGTGTGTCGTGACCGCCAGGCAATGTCGTAGGCGAGAATATGTCCTCACATCCTATCAGGTGCAAACCATTCGTGTAAAGTTGTCACTAGAACTCCAGTCATCTTCATCTTGTAATTAATCACTGGTGGGCCCCACAGTCTGAAGGTTGTTTTTCTGACCACTGACATGTGAGTTCATGCGTGTAAAATTTCGATGAGTCTCAAACTAGGAATGTACAGCCAGCTGGCCAATAATCTTCTCCCCAGCCATTTGTCTACTATTAGGTTGATAAGAGTAAAAATCTCTATTTATATGTTTTATTTATATCACACATGTAACAAACATAATGAGTGATGAAAAGTGTTAGAAATGTGAATAATATTTAAGCAGGGTTACAAGACGGCACAACCAATGAAATAGTTTATAAAGAAACAACGAATTGGCAAAACAATCCAAGGTGGATAATTAAGTCCTTCTGTATACACAAATTATGCCTCAAATGTTGGATTTCTGCTGCTTCTGTACATTGTAGTATTCTACTATTACCATAATTTTACCATTCGGAAGGCTACCACTCAGTCTTCCATATAACACAACGACCTGCACATCTGAGTGTCAGACAGAGCTTTCAACTCACCGTGTACTTCCAACCATACCATGAAATTTATTCTTATCATGATTTATAGAATCCAGTCACAAACTCTGATGATGAGAAGGAAAAGAAATAGGCAATGCGCTATTTAAATATTCACCAGTTTTTATTATGCTATCCGCTAAACTAATATTACTGTTTGACATTATTTCACATGTTTAGTTCAACTGATTTCTGAAGTAGCAAAGGTTGAGAAGCACAGAATCGACAGGCTTCCCAGTAAGTTCAAATTTCACTCATATAATAATGCATACATCTGTGTTTAGCACAATCACCCATGGATGTTGTGAATACAGCTGTCGATACAATGCAACGAGAGCGTCATCATGACTTTGGTAAGTGATCTAGAGACGATTTAATTGCTATTCATTTTGTTGTAAGAAAAAATATTTGCAATTATCAGTATCACCATTGTCATTATTATTCACTCACTTATTGCTCAGGTTCTAAGGGGAATAATATAAAGCCTGATATGTGTACTTCTCTAGTGGCCTCGCTCCCGCCCTCTACATGCATTCTCAGCTAATCCCAAAGACAACATTCATCACCAAGAGATTTCACTTCCTCTTAGTATAATTCTCTCCACGTCACCCTAGAAAGCGAGGCCAAAACGATGAATCTTATTTAGATTGCACTCAAAGACTTGGTGTGTATGATGTCAGTCAATGGTCTTCTTAGATTACACCTATTCCGTCTCCATTTTCTTCAGAATATCTATTAAGCAATAAGATCCCGTCGAGTTGTTGACACACCGCTAGAATTCTCAACGTCCACGCTTGTGGTACGGGGTTCAATCCCTAGTTAATACACTCCTGTACCTCTCTAAGGCAGTTTTAAGACTGAAAAAGAGGGAGTTTTGGGCATGAGGCTAGCAATCTTATTCCGTAAAAATATGCATCAATACTACCGAGACTTCATGCAACCAGGTTGAAGCCCTGTTTTGCACTTGGAACATACAAGAATACAAAAAATAGGTTCCTGTATATTGGTTCGTTGACAGAGATTCTCATTGCTAATCCTTTCCAGCCGACCATCTGATGTTCAATATTCTGATAGCAAAGGCAGCTTTTGATAAACGACTGCAGTGGCCTGTTGGAAATGCTTTTCGTCACACTCAGAATTCCTGACGCATGCATCAGAATTGGCTTAACATTGGTGATAAAAATTCGAATAATGTTGTATATGCTGAGTAGTTCAGTAGATTTCCAAACTAATTTCTGAGTGATCAAGTTCTGTCTCGCCTTTCCAATTCGGGTTTTGAAATCGTTGTCTATCCCTTCTGTAGTGGAAAGAATCCTTCTCCCCTAATGAAGGCAACTACATCTTTAAGATTTCTCTCTATAACCGTGATGGTCAAGTGTTTTCGTTAGCTGCTTATTGTTAAGTATCCTGTCTACCTTAAGTTTATTAGAAATCCTGTAATTGATGCTTCTCGCAACCTGTGGCTTTCATATATATATATATATATATATATATATATATGCGTCTGCGTTACAGTGGTTATAACTCTCGCCGATCACGCGTATGGTCCGAGGCTCGATGCCCTGCTGACTCACACCTGATATCTGTGGTCGGTCTGCAAAATTTAGCTTACCGATATCACATGCTGAAAATTGCATACATGTACCAAAAAATACGGTGTGGAATCAAGCTGTAATCAAAAAAGTAAAAAAATAAAAAATATATCTCAGCTTGTCCGAGAATAAAGCATAAAGTTTCTGTGAAACATTAATTTTCCATCAGTTCAATGTGTGATGATCTTCTGATTCCTCACAGTCTACTACACAATCCAGTCACTCACGACCATGAAGTTGATTGGCGATAGCTGTTAGCCTTCTCTTACTCCTATCTCCACTTAAAATGCTTCAATGAGTATTGATGTGGGAATAACCTGGGATGCGGCTGGTGTCACATAGCTGGTGTCGTGAATGAAGTTTGAACATGTTTACGGCGCCACACTTTGTAGTTTTCAAGCAACCCTCAAATTACTTCATAGTCGATGATATTGATGGTCTTCTCCCTTCAAAGTCGTCATTCTATGCTATGGTTGATGACAATGAGAAGTGTTGCAATTTGATCTGCGCATGACTTCCTTTGCCTGAATCCAGCATGTTTAGAATGAATTTTTGTCAGCAGAACATCTTTCGATCTCTCCAAGATGATATGACTTAATATTTTGTTTGTGTTGCATAGAAGTTCAATGACATATCAGTTCCTCCCTATTCTTTAGTCGCTTTTATTTCGCATTATGACGAGTTAGCCTTTCTTCCACTCAGTGGGTACACTTTCTCCCTGCTTTCCAGACGTACACTAGTGGCGTCAGCATTTCCAGCAGCTATCTAGCTCCGTCATTACTGCTTCTCGAGTACTACATCTCATATCAACGTCTCCTTATAACTTTCAGATCTGCAAGTCTTTTGATTTCATCGAAAAGTGTCGAGTCAGCAGTTGGTATAATCTGGCAGTTGTGTCTGCTGGGTCAAATACTTGACAATTTTTGTGTGATGATCAATTTAGGAGTCCCATGGGGTAATGAATGTAGAGTTCTCTCTGTTCCACCTCTCCTGCAAATGGATCCCTTTTACTATGTTTCACTGTTTCCGTCCGTATTTTGGTCCTAGCCTCGCAAACAAATGGCTGCGTTCCTGCTGTATAGCTTACGGAACTGCTGTGAGTGACTGACATGCCGAAATTATCCTCCAAATATTTCGAGAGACGTTTCCGCACGATCTGTGGTAGTATTCAACAGCAATATTATTTTATGTCAAAAATACGAAACTTTCACAAAAATGTCTTCTGGTAGATATGCAGGCAGAAGATTTCTCAGGTAAAAAGACGTCCTGTACAGCAAAATTAACTGTCCAGTTACCAATGCATGTTATCTGAAAATCAGTGATAACATTCTCAGAAATATTGGATTAAAACTCTTTCTGAAAGAGTCAAGTAGAACAAAACACAGATAGACAACCCAAGGCCCAGGACTCAATTGAATCAGTCAACGAATAATATACATTTTACCACAAATCAAATTTACCAACCAAGGAACAATAAACCACATAATAAAAAAATTCACATTACGAATCAATAAAAACGGGCAATAGAGATACAATTTGACGACCATTTACGACAAACAAGGTTCACAGGAAATACAATTACATGATGATTGATCGCGAATTTAAATAACTTAATTTCACATTAAAGATCGCTCTAGAAAGGCAACGAAAGCTTCACAATTAAAATTCAGTGCACCGGAAATTTGTGGTTCATAGCGTCACCAACAGTCTATGCAAGCAGTGAGCATCTATTCCCACACCTGACTTGGTGAACCCCATAGAACATGACTACTCAGGCAACGCCATCTCCGAGTGAGTTATTCACTTGTGTCAAGAGTAGGTTATTAATTTCTGAAATTGACAAACTTGTATCAAGTTTGACCACGGGTTGACATCAGTTAGAGAAACAGTGAAAACCAGTTGGTAGAACTGAACAACCGGTTGTTTCATTCTGGGCTGGTGCTCATTCGCAGTACACACCGACCTTGGTCCCATCCATTAACGTCCGGGTTACAACATTCCGCCTCTTGAAACCTAACTTCCACCATTTCAGGATGTTTTGTGCCACTACTATGTGAACTGCATGAAATCTCGCATTCCTGAAAATAATCTGATTCTCGATGGTGACTGGCTTTAGGATTAAGATGTCTGGAGTTCGGATCAAAATTCTAGACTAATGGGCGCCACTCGGTTGTCACTGAAGAAAGCTATTCACCGATGAGATTGGCTGGTTGTCGAGCGAAATATCACGAACTGGTTAAAGCTTAAATTCACGGACTGGCTAGAAAAATCAACGAGCCTCCCTTGTTTACTTAAAGGCACCCGGCTCCAACCGTAGTGATATTTGTAATGATGGTGAGTCCGAAACTGGTTTTCTATGCTTTTCTAACTGATATCAATCCGTTGTCAAACTCCAAACAAGTTCAATGCCTACAAATTGATTCTTGAAAATTCTCACAATCTACCAGTATCGATAAATGTGCCTCCATCTTTCTCACAGGTGATCCAAATTAATGAAACACAGAGGACATGGAGTGTTCAGAAACTCAGAAACTTTTATTTAATGATGATGGTGTGGTAATAATTCATATTAATAAACATTTTCTGTTTTTCAAAATCAGTACTGCCTACAACCAGTCGTTTTATCTTTCTCATAATCTACTTGTATGATTCTAGTTTATCATTTAGACACACACACACAGTCACTCTATCGACGATAAACGATGTCTTGTTTTGTGAAAGTAGGAAACCGATCTTTGTGCTCCACTGGATAGCTGACCAAAACTTTCTTGAGTAAGACACAGTGCAGAACTGTCTCGATGGTAATAAAATGGCAGTTATTTGAGATGAAACCTGAGGTATTATTACTACCTCAACAATCCCGTTAGGCAGCGATATAATTCACTATCAGTCACAATCTAAGTACTGTACCACTGTACCAAGCACCTGATAATCTAGAGTAATATCGCCAGTAGGGTGGGTTCAAAACTCCGTCAGCAACAGCAACGCACTACTCTTCCACCAGACACTCCATAGTGAAAATTCACAGCGTGAACCCTGATCTCGTTCAAACAAAATTTCAGTCGTAGGGGAAGAAATTGTCGATTTGATTGCACAGCCACAAAGAGAAGCACTGAGATTAAAGATTAGGCAAGAATCAAGACAGACAATGAGAGTTAATTCAAGGGATGACAGGTGAATGTCAAGACAATCATACGCAGTCAAATATAAAATCTCTTCCGTGCGTTGTCTGACTAAACTGCCGTACACATATATTCCAGTATTTCTTCGTTCTTATTCATGTGCGCAGACGTTGTGGCTACTCGACGCCCACAACGTAAATCAAAAGGCACTTGCGAAGATTACGAATGTGTATTGTAGCAGTAGTCAAATTTGAAATTGTGTCAAGGTAATGTTCAACAGTAAATTGACAAATGTTTGCGAAGTACATATAAAATCGATCTGTATACACATATAATACAAGTATACAAATTAGATTAAAAAGCATGTTTACAGTTGGTATAGGGGTACTACATAATTCCCCCACCAGAACACTGAAATATATAAAAAATACATTTAAGTGTTCGAAAATAACATGCGTCAGAGCAATACGTAGCAGCGATAGTACACAGAAGGCGATTTATTAAGCTGAAAAATGAGCAGTTTAATGCGGTTAATAACATCGATAATAAATGCGATAATCTAGGGAAAGTGGAATTCCTAATCGTAATAGAATATATAAGGAACGATAAAATTGTCCGGGGATCTGTAGTCGGTAGACGAAAACGATACGTGAATAATATATGAGATGTGATTAAATGTAATAATATAGGAAATATCGATGTTAAAATAATAGTGACGTGATTTATGTATGAAAATATTAATCAGTTAAATGAGTAATCAAATGACAATTACGAATAAAGATAATAAAAATGAAAATTCGTAGTAAGTTATATTTCGATGACTTGCACGTAACGTTTAGGCCAATGGACTCGTCTACCAGATCGTGTTGTTTTCGCAGGCTTCTCTGTCGACGTTGAAGCTTGTGTGGATGTAGGCGTTGGCACGTCGTTCAGCTGGTTCTTATCGTTGACTTCGAAATCGTCGAGGAACGCTGGTTTGACTTTTTGACAGGACAAGCGATTTCGTGTCCATTTCTTAACGTCGCTGTTAATGTTCGGCCGGATAAATCTTTTTCTTAGTAGCTTGGTAGTAGCGCTCACACCAGGATGCGACAAGTTATGTAACTTCTCGAATACTGTATGTCTCATAGCTATTGGAACGAAAGGTCGATATTTATCTGTAGAGGTGTCGCAGATAACTTTTGTCGTGCCAAAAGGGACTGCCTCGAGACTTAGAGATGTTGTTTTAGAAGGCATGATCTTTTTGAGTTCGACGTCCTCTCGTTGTAAGTTTGAGAGATGTTCGTAGTCGATGTCTGGGCATACAATGTTATCAATGTGCATACGTGGCAAAGCGTCTGCCACTTCATTGTTTTTACCCTTGACTTGTCGCAGATCGGAGTTGACTTGGGATATATACTCGAGATGTCGTATTTCGCGCGGAGAGTAATTAACCTGCTTTGCTGATAAAGCTTTCATTGGAGCTTTATGGTCTGTTGATCGGAAAGATGGTTGTAGAATGTCAGGAAACTGATCTGCCGAGTCGGTATATGGAGGTGCTGGTGTGCGTGTGACCATCAAGTTCAACGATGATGCACGGCTAATCGTACCAGCGATGTACTCTTTATTGAGCGAGTCTATAAGCTTAGGGCTTACCGGATCAACTAGCAGTTTGTGTTGCTGTAGAAAATCTATACCAAGGATTGGGGATGGAACGTCTGCGATGATGAAAGACCAAGTGTAGGTATTCTGCAGACCAAAATCTAAAGTCATTCGTTTACTACCATATGTAACAATATTAGACTTATTAACGGCTTGGAGCGTAACTGCAGGGTCAGGATGTTGACGTTCCTGCGTAGACGGAGGGAGAACACTAACCTCTGCTCCTGTGTCGACTAAGAACGTAGTACCGGTATTTCTATCTGTTACATAAAACAAACGACTGCTAGATCGTAGATTGCCGACAGTAGAAGTTTTCATACATGACGATATATCTTTTGGTTTAGCCTGAAAGTTGCAAGGTGAACGACACTGTCGTGCATTGCCTCCGTAACTACGGTGGTACCAGCAAATAATAGGAGCGACCGAAAAAGACGTCGACGAGACGAGCTTCTAGAACGGCCTGGTCGTATGCGTGTGGTCAGTGCTGCTAACTGACTCAGTTCAGTGTCGACTTTGTGTTCTAGAGTCTGTATCCTATCGTGAGTGTCTGGTATTCTGCTAGTGGAAGCAACAGATTGAGGTGTTGACCTCTCGTACATGCGATCCGCGATTTTGGCGAGCTTTTCCATGTCAATGTCGTCGTCCCCGAAAGCAAGAACTTGCTGAATGTTTGCAGGCAGTCATCGCAGCCAGATTTGGTAAAAGAGATATTTGTCGATATCTCTTTGTGCTGCTAGGCTTTCCATATGCCTCATGAGTTGTGATGGGGTTTTATCACCTAGCTCTACATTGCTTAACAAACGATCGAGTGCTTGCCTATCAGAAAGTGAAGTGCATCGAAGTACTTCTTCTTTCAACTTGTCGTAAGGAGAGTCTGTGGTGGGCTGAACGATGCATTGTCGAACCTGTTCGGCGATTTCGTCTGGTAGTACTGTACTCAATATGCGTAATTTAGCCGTCTGTGACGTGAGCTTATTGGCAGTGAAATAATGTTCCAGTCGTGCAAACTAAAGATGAGGGTCTCTGGGCCTAAAAACTGGTACAGTAAGAGAAATAGTACTAACAGATCCCAGCTCTAAATTATCAGAGGTATTGGAAAACATGTTATAATTTGTAGAAAAATGGTTTAACAGTAACAAAATATCAAGAATAACGCACACTTAGAATATGGCGAAACAGAAAAACATGCAATGCAGGCGCTTACCACAGATTACTGCAAGTTGTGCTGTCTGTCTGTCTGTTTTCGACATAGAACTTTGCACAAATGTGCGGAAGTTCAAGTCGACACATTCCGTGTAGCACGCGAAGCAAGAGAAGAAAGTACAAGAAAAGCATAATAGAAACAGTGAGCAGAGGTGTGAGACAAAGGAGAATAAAGAATAACAAAACAGTTTCATTGAAGATCATAAGTCACAGGGAGTGGATGCATCTGCGCTAGCCACTGAGAACGGTTTTGAGCCATGTCACCAATTGTTTCCAACCATAGATTTTTACCGTCCCGAGGACCCCAGCCTGGAAGTCTACACCTTCCTACGTGGCTAAGACCAACTGTTGTGGATTTCATTGACTGGTGAGGCCAAGTTTTTGTTTGACCGCCGCTAGCTTTTTTCCAGCCTGACCCTATATCCGCTAACATAGCTCGTCGAGGGAGGCGATGACTTGGCATACGTAACACATGTCCTAACCATCTCAGTCTTTGTAACTTCACGACTTCGTCGATTGATTTCCCCTGTTTACCTAGAACTCTACGCCTAACCTCCATGCTGCTCACCTTATTATGCCACTTTACACGGGAGATAGAACGCAGGCACCTATGATCAAAGACAGCTAGTCTTTTCATGTCTTCCACTCTCAGTGGCCAGGTCTCGCAACCATAAAGGAGGACGGAGCGGACTGATGAGCAGTACACCCGCCCTTTGGTCGATAGTCGAACATCTCGTCTACGCCAGAGTCGGCGTAAGCTAACAAATGCGAAACGAGCCCCTTGTATTCGTGCTGAGATTTCGTCAGAGATCAACCCGTTGGGGCTGATGGTACTTCCCAAATAAGTGAAGCGGTCAACGTGCTCTACCACTTCACTTCCTAATTTTAAACTAGGCATCGATGTAGTCCAGTCCTGTAACATCATTTTGCATTTGGCGGGAGCGAATCGCATGCCAAACATTCGTAGATTGCGGCTCAAGGTGTTTAGAAGACTCTGCATTTCGTCAGCGTCTTCGCCTAGAAGGACTATATCGTCTGCATATTCCAAGTCAACGAGATTATTCCCCGGTAGCAAGTCAATCCCTGAGTCACTGAAGTCACCTAGGATTAAGTCCATTAACACATCTATGATGAAGTTGAATAGAAAAGGGGATAATAAGCATCCTTGACGAGCACCACTGGTCGTCGCACTGCAAGTTGTGCGATGAGAAAGCACAAGAATGAGCTCGAAATGTCTATTATATGTATATATATCCGATAAAGTTGGAGTTTAAATAATCCAGCAAGTGTAATGATGCGTCCGGGTGAACAAAATGTCGTTGGAGTCAACAAGTTATCGTCTCAGTGAACAAGTTATCGTTGAGGTGAAAAAGTTGTCGTCGCGATGGACAATTTGTGGACGGGGTCGAAATTTGTCGTTGGGGTCAACAATTTGTCGTCCGGGTGAACCAGTTATCGTCAAGGACACCAATTTGTCGTCGCTGTCGAAATTGGTCGTCGGGATCAACAATTTTGTTGCGTGCGTTG